CAATGAAGCAACATAATGACAATGAAAAAAAGGAAACAAACTCTCGTTCTGTTTGGAAGATGATAGGAAAACAATTCATTTTTCTAAAACTAGTAAGTAAAAGGAAAGAGTCAAGCATTTTTACTATCTTTCCTATATGAACTGTTCCTTAGGGTGACCATAAATAGCTGAGGAGGAACATTTCTGTCTACTGAAGTATCCCAGCTAGTAAATAAAGAGGGAATAATTAGAATATGGTACTTTGCAAACCTCTGTTAAAATAATGGATCTAGCAAATGATCATCAATGACTGCTAAAGTCACAGAGAGACGATCAGACATAATGGGCTTCCACAGTAAGAACATACACCTCTGAAGTCAAGTCTAACCTGAGTGAGACCAAGCCTCAGGATCTAGCAACCAATCATCAGGAAATTTAGGGGACTGTGGAACATGTTAAATGATACTACTGGGATGGAGCTAGGAAATCCAGACCTTGGGAAACTCTATGAGGTAAAGGGGAACTATTAGATGAAGGGAGGACCTATAGATTAAAAGAAACTTAAGAGACAGCTGATATAGCAACCAATGCAACAAGCAGAACCTGTTTGGATCCTGATGTAAACAAATCAGTTGTAGGGAAGAAAGAGCGATGGGGAGAGAATTGGAGAAATTTAAACATGTTTAATGTTTGATTACATTAAGGAATTATTATTAATTTTTAAAATGTGAAAAAAATGTTTTAGGTATTTGGCATCTTACTAGCTATAGTTATATTCAAACTCTCTGTTTTTTCTTAATTCAGTCTCGGTAGGCTGCATGTTTCTAGGAATTTATTCATTCCATCTAAGTGATCTAATTTGTTGACCAACAATTATTCATAGTATTCTCTTATAACCCTTTTGATTTCTGTAAATTTGGTTAGAATGACCCCACTTTCATTTCTGATGTTAGTTATTTGAGTCTTCTTTCTTTTTTCTTTGTCCATTTAGGTAAAGGTTTATCAATTTTGTGGATCCCATCAAAGTACCAACTTTTGGTTTTCATTGATTTTCTCTATTTTTTTTTATATTTTCTATTTCTTTTATCTATGCTCTGAATTTTATTATGTGCTTCCTTTGCTATGTCTGGGCTAGTTTGCTCTTCATTTTCTAGTTTCTTCGGGTGCAAAGGTGATTGTTGATTGGAGATCTTTTGTTTTTTATTAATGTACACATTTACATTAAATAAATTTCCCTTTTAACAAAAAAATAAATAAAATAAAATGGCAGGGAATGCACAGAGACCTTTAAAAAAAAGTTTTCTAAGCACCTTTTATTGATCAGACTGCTCTTTTGCCAATAAATACTTTTGGAGCTTTTATTAAAAATCAGTTGGCTGTGGGGAAGAAAAAAAGGAGCACAGTGTCCAGCCTCTAAGGCAATCTCAGAGACCCACCCCCTGATCCCTTTGATTTAAGAGTCATTCATCATCTCCTTTCAGCATTTAAACATATCCCACCTTTTCAGCAAACCACATTCCCAAGACATTTCCATACATGGTGATTCCCAGAATCTGCCAGATCAGGTTCTAAAACATGCTATAATGCTCTACTAAAAAGGAGAAAGAAAGCCCTCAGTTGTGCGATACACAAGCATCAGATAGAAGTTACCTGCAAAAGAAAGGGTAAACAAGGGTCTGTAATCTGTTCCTCCCTCCTCAGTGAGCATGGCCAGAGCAGAACTTTGGCAAACAGTAGCTGCTGAAATTTACTGACTAGAAGATAAATGAGGGTCTTACAGGGGTTGCTATATACTGATTACAGATCTAGGAATATTTTTAGCAGGATGGATATGGTCTGTTTAGAGTATTCTTTATAAATAAACCTATAAAATACAGACTGCAGTTGTGCCAAAGAATAAAAGTCCGTCCTAAAGCCAGAAAAGGGCTACATGGGTATGGACATATAAACCTTTTCGGTTCTGACTTTGTGCCATACAAGTTAGCACCCCACGCTTCAAATAAAAATGCATGTCATTGTAGGAAGGAAAACACAGGAAGGAAGCTGTGTCTGACTGCGGGCCTCATAGACATTGCACGTGCTGTTGCAGCTGTTTTGTAGCCTTTGATAATGGTTAGAAAATCTTGTGCTGGTTAAAAATTATGTTTCGTGTGGATATGACTAACTTTTGGGTCTCTGCAGTCACTCATCATCTGAGCCACTGGTGTGCACTCAGTGCTCCTCAGAAAGCTAAAGGACTGAAAGAATCCATGAATTGTTCTGGGGCATAATTATAGTGCTGAACTCCAAACACTAACATCAGATGAGATAGAATAATTTAACCAACCCCTGGGTATAATCACTCCAGCCATTTCACAGTTGATGAGAATTCAAAAGGAAACAAGTCCTGACACTTTTGGTGGCAATTCATACAACCCTGTAGACTGTTATAGACAAGTCCAGAAGAGCATGGGGTGGCAGAGTTCCTAAATCCCATTTGAAAAATGTCACAGAACAATACTGAACTTATTGGGTTTGTTTTGTTTTGTCCTGTTTTTATTGCAGCATGGGGCTCAGAAATCTCTATAATCTGTAACTTATTCCCAAATGAAATAAACGTCCAAATGCCATTAAATGTTTACTTAAAATAAATGTGTTTAGTAACTCTACTTTTCTGTGTCCTTAAGAGCAGAGTAGTTGCTCAGCAAGAACAATAGGCTCCGAGATTTTATAAGACTTTGAAGTTTTCTGTACCAAAAGAAGTTAATTTGAAGAATTTTTTTAGTGACTATTTGGGTATAACTATCAGGGTCTTGATAAAAAATAATAGTAAAAAATTTAGCACTACTGGGATAAACAACATTCCAAAACTGTTTGTATACTGATACACAACCAGTATCATTATTATGTCAGAATATACAGTTTCCCAAGAGTTGATTTCATATGTAAATATTATAATGCTAGTAGAAATATAGATAGAATCTTGACCGTACTGAACTTGAGTTTTATGTTTTGTTTGCTTTTCATTTTTGTTTTTTGCTTTTTTTTTTTTTTTAATTGTAGTGTGGGAGCCAGAGATCTCCTCTATACTCTATAATTTATTCCCAAGTGATAGAAACAACTAAATGCCATTCAAATGTTTACTTAAAGGAAATAAATCTGTATAGTGGCCATGCTTCTGTGTGTCCTTAAGAACAGAATAGTTGCTCTTAATTTGCCCTAGCTGTCATTTTTACCTTGCCAAATGCTATCAAGGTTGAAAGATCACTTGTCTTTAGCATGACCAGCTGAGGGGGCTCAAGGCCTAGGAGTATGTAGGTTAGCTTGTCAGGGTAGGGAAATCAATGATAATTATTACGAATATGTCTCTGCTCAGAGACACAAATGTATTTGTCTGCACTGTTCTACATATCAGTAAAACATACCAAAAATTATAAACATTTCTCTGATGATGGCATTGTCAAAACTCTAAGAAAAATACACTGTTCATGACATTAAATATATACAAAAACCAGGATCAATATCTTAAAACAAATTTATTTTAGCATGACCAGCTGAGGGGGCTCAAGGCCTAGGAGTATGTAGGTTAGCTTGTCAGGGTAAGGAAATCAATGATAATTATTACGAATATGTCTCCGCTCAGAGACACAAATGTATTTGTCTGCACTGTTCTACATATCAGTAAAACATACCAAAAATTATAAACATTTCCCTGATGATGGCATTGTCAAAACTCTAAGAAAAATACACTGTTCATGACATTAAATATATACAAAAACCAGGATCAATATCTTAAAACAAATTTACACTGCACACTGAGTTTGAACAGGGGTCTAAGGGCTAGTGTATAAGGCTCAATTTATGTGAGATGTTTACATTTATTAGTCATAATTAAGAATCTTATGGCAGTTATTTCATAGTGAGATGACTATTTACCCTACAAATTGCAAAGCTTAAGCATATAGAGACTTTTTTAAAAATTAATATGTACTTTAATTATTCTTTAAATTTCCTCCTGGTGAATCTAAGTAAACTTATACACATCATGGGGCTTCCTGGGAATAAGGGGATATTTCCTGTATTTTTCTAATATGTTACTGAATTCAAATTATATGGGGCCCTTGCCAGATGTGAGATGTAGACACCCTTACCAATTGATGCCTAAATCAAAGAATTTGTAAAATGATATGAAGAGAGTAATCTAAACATATTTTATCCTTTGAAACGTTTGCTGCATTACTGTAGGTGAAATATGTAGATTAGAAATAGGACTTGGGTCATGTACTGGTCAGATATGATAATGTCCTCAAAAGTCATCTTTAAAAAGGAAGGTGACTCACAAACTTGTGACCAATTCCTCACACCTCACACTGGTGCTTCTCTTGCTATGTACAAAATTATACAAAAGAGCCAATGTCTGCTACCATCATCCAGTGATTCCTGTGTACAGCCTTCTCTGAAATAAATGCTACAAAACTTGCTGCCACACTGGCGAGGTCATGGTTGGGCCTAATTTCTGAATGGTTTTATCAGGATTGACATCAGCAAGTTTTTCTTTGAGTTTAAAATTTGTTTTTTCCACAGTAGCCCCACCTGTTTCCTACAGCAATGACAGCAATGATCAAAATGCAAAAATAACTCATAACTCTCTAGCAAATTCTAGAAAATACTAAATGTTAATATTCTTTAGTATGTTTCAGTAGTTTCATATTATTATAGCTGCACCTTTATGGTTTGAACTTAAATATCTTTTTGTAGTACAGATGAAATAATGTCCCCTAATCAGGGTAAAAATAAGAAAAACCTGTGAAGCATTTTAAAAATCATAATAATGCAGATGCTCCAGGAATACTGAATCAGCATCTCTGGAGGTTGGATTGAATTCATGACCTTAGATTTTGATTACTCACTTTCCTGAGAGAATAAAATAAGGAAATTTCCTTGAGAGTTACAGGTGAAGTTTGGGATGACACATGGAGAACACATACATCTTGAGGGCTCTGGCAATAAAAATCCTTCCATCGACAGTATTCCTGTCCCAGTCATCTGGAGCCATGATCTTTCCAAAGCACTTTCTTAATTGCTTCTTTCACATCCTTGTTCCGCAGTGTATATATAAGGGGGTTGATCATGGGTGTAATGATGGTGTAGAAGAGAGATACGAATTTGCCCTGATCCTGGGAGTAGTTACTGCTGGGCTGGAGATAAACATAGATGGCAGTGCCATAGAACAGGGAGACCACTGTGAGGTGGGATCCACATGTCTCAAATGCTTTTCTCTGCCCTGCCGCCGACTTCATTCTTAAGACTGCCCTGACAATCCGACTGTAGGAGAACATGATTAATGTGACAGGGATAAGAAGAATGAGGACACCAACAAAGAAGAGCTCAGATTCATTCCTAGTGGTGTCAACACAGGCAAGCTTGAGCAATGGAGGGACCTCACAAAGAAAGTGGTCTAATTTATTTCTTCCACAAAGCGGTAAAAGGAAAATGAGCACTGTCTGCAATAAGGAGTGGGCAAAACCAATGAGCCATGAAGCAGAAGCCATCAGGGCACAGAGACGGGGGTGCATGATTACTGTGTAGTGGAGGGGCCTGCAAACAGCTGCATAGAGGTCAAATGCCATAACTCCTAGGAGAACACATTCTGTAGATCCCAAGCCTAGAGAGATGTACAGCTGAACTACACAACCACCGTAAGAGATGGATTTGTCTGCTCCCCCGAGATTAACCAGGAGCTGTGGAACAATGCTGGTAGTGTAACACAGGTCCAGAAAGCTTAGGATGGAGAGGAAAAAGTACATAGGGGTGTGAAGATGTGGATTCAGGCGAGACAATACAATGATGGTTGTGTTCCCCAGCAATGTGAAAACATAGAAGATCAAAAGAACCACAAAGAGGATTAGCTCCAGTTGAGGCTTGTCAGAGAAACCCAGTAGGATAAATCCAGTGAAAGAACTGTCATTTTTCTGGTCCATCCTTTGTTAGCACATATTTCCTATCAAGAACAAGCATTTAGTAAATTGTAAAACCTATCTTCAAAAAAAAGGTGAACTCTATCATTTGTACAAGACGTGGCCACAGAATTTCATATTCAACTATTTTAATCGATGATGTACTCACAGAGACCAACATATCTTGTACCAATTTTGTTCACATTGTTATAAAAAGTAATATCATCGATATTTAATGTAAGAAAAATCAAATAATGAACCTTGTGCCTGCATCAGTCATGGATATAAAAGGTCTGTTTCAGATTGACTTTAATATGATTTAAAGTGCTGCAAGAATATACGTACATTTTAGAAAAAAATGAGGTTGAGGGAAAAACAGGGAGACAGATCAGAAAATGAGAGGCAGAGACAAAGGAAGAGAGGTTATTTGAAACTACATATATATGTATATATAATAACTCTACACAATTGACTTTTTACATATTTCACATGCAATAGAATATAATAAAACATTCTCTACAATGCATTTAGATATAGTCATTTATGACCTACAATGTATTTATACAAAGGATTAAGCTGCATTCACAATATCACTAATAGTGCTGCATATACATATTTTGACAGAATTGCCTCTCTATTCTACGTAATATATTTGTAAAAGCTATTCTGGTTTTTCTGTATGGTAATAAAATGCTGAAACAGACAGAGCCTAAAATTCATTGAATTCACCATTCAATTGCAGTGCTTAACTCTTGCCCCCAAGATGCCAAAATTATCATACCAATTTAACAAGAACCCTGAAAATTCATTGGCTATGCACAGTCAGCTGGAATCAGAACTCTAAAATTCAGTGGCTGACACTTTCCTTTTCCCTGTGTTGATTTCTTTTATCATCATCTAGAGTGAGTGGAATTCCTGAAAGAGGTGGGATTATTCACTATTAACATTTTAATTAAGATAAACATCTTTTAAAGTTATCCAATTTTGTAATCTATGTACAAAGCGTAATGCTTTACATCAATCTCTGCAATAAAATAACTAAGTACACAAATACAGAGAAATAAAGAACAATACATTGTCAAAGTAATGACAGGTAAAAGAGATATAATGTGAAACTAAAAGTAATAGAATGAAAAGTATACAGAAAAGGATATTTTGGTTTTATAAGAGTCTAAGAACATCCTCTTATATTAGGCTTATTTTATATATATATATATATATCTTTCTGGGAGCTATCTTTAAGGATTTGTCATACTACATCAAACACATTGCTAGCTCTAAGGTCATTTGATTACTATTTTCTTCCAGCTATTTAGCACTGTGTAAGCACAGTCCCCCACCACCCTAAGCAGCATCAGAGAACAAGGAATTCAGTTCTATCACATTCAAATAGTTAGACATACAGTAAATCCTTAATTCTTTTAAGACTTCTTAAAATACGAATTAGGTTTGGGTGTAGACCCATTGGTGTGTGACAGAAACTCATATAAAATAGGTATAAGATAATTGCTAATAAAATCTGAATAAGGGAAAAGAAAAGGTCAGATGAAAGAAGAGGTAGTAATAGAGAGGCTACCAGGAAATGTTTCTCTATCACTGACACATATGTCCTCCTTATCCCATAATTTTTGCAAGAAAAATAAACCATGAAAAAATCATGTCTTAAAACGTAAAAGCACACATAATAGAAATTTAATACATCCTATATGAGAAGGATTAGTTTAACTGATCTAACCTCACTCTCAATCCCAAAACAACAATGCGGAGGAATACTATTTTACATATTTGGCAAAAACCAACAATATTGAACTAATTTTTAAAATTTCACATTTGAAGTTTGAAAAATTTAAAACATGTTCAAAAGTTGAAGGCTGAATTTATATGTTACTTACAGTTAATAACACTATCTGGTATTGTTGAGTGTTTCATAGGTTCTAAATCATTTACATATGTAATCTCAACTAAAAAACGTGAAATTTATTACCACTTCTTTTTACATATGAAGAAATAGGTTAAAGTGCTTAAATAGCTTGTGACATTGCTAAACCCTTAAATGCACAACCCAGGTCCCTTTGACATCAATGTCCATGCTTTTAACCACCACATTATTTTATCTTCAATCAAAAGAATATATTAAAATTCAGCAGAAGCCATCACACGTGACATAGCAGATGTAATATTTCACAGTATTTCACACTGCCGTTAAATTCTTATGAGAATGTGATTAGTTATAGCCCCCCAAATATCTATACACAAAATTGTCATAATAGAATTAATTATAGAAATATTAGAAACAATATAAATGTCCAATGGCAGGAGACATTGCCTTGACTCACACCTGCTCAGAAGAGCAAATAAAAACAAACCATGGTTCAGTCTCATGGACACGTACACAAATATAAATCAACTGCTGGTAAATTTTTAAAATTAATCTAATAAAAGAAGCATTCATCAAAGTATAGGATGGCAAAAATAAAATGCTAACTCATTCAAGGAAAAACACAATATAAAAATGCACCATTATAATAAAATAATGATATATCTTAACATTATCGTATCAATAAGCACCAAGAAGGCATTTGATGAAAGATAAACAGTTGGTGAAATGATGTTGTACAAACCACTTACTGCTTTACAGGATGACATACATTGATAAAAAAGACTGCTGAATGCTACCTATATAAAAAGTATAAAAATGAATACGATTTTCGGTTGAAAAATAAAATAATATCAGGCAAAGGAGATGCCCACTAGAACAGAACAGAGAATGTGATCGTCTCTATATGTTGCAATTGCTTCAAATCCACTCCAGAGAACACAGTAGGAGGTAATTAGGACACTGATGTCATATTCTATCTTCTAACTTTTAAAAAATTTCCTCTTTACAAATCAGGAAATTATTATCCTTTAGAAACATTGGATATGGGAAAGATCTAGCTGCAAGACAGAGTATCCCATTGATTCTCAAGTGTGTTCTGCTGACCTGTGTCACTGTTTCCTTCCTCCTTTCCCACTCAGCACCCATCCCTCCCAAAGCTGTTGGCACCGCCACAAAAGGCAGTCTTCCAAGAAAAGGAATATTTTTTTTACCTAAGGTTAAATGAGGTATTTCATTTCATTTCATTTCCTTCCTTCCTCATTGAAAGAATTGTAGAATTTGACTGGAAATCATCTGTTTAGATACGCATGAATTGACTTAATGCAGTAAGAAAGATTTTGATTCACATTAGACAAATTATGTAAATAATAATAACTGGAAATACTAGACACAGATATTCAGTTTGAAAACCACACATCATAAAGGCATAAGATCCCGACATAATGTCTATATTTAAGATTTCCAAAGTTAAACAGCATTCACTGATATATTAAACATGCCAAGTCTGCCCTGTACAGTTTCTAAATTAATCCTAAAAAAGTGCTGGCAAAATTTCTATAGCCTCACTAAATCAATATTGCTTTAATAATGCTTCTGTCTCATAGGTCTCAGCTGAACTCATTTATATTAGGACTGGCCCCTGATGGCAATGGAGTAGCAAATTGATCTGTCACTGTATTGGAAATGACAGATTTAAGGAGAACATAGAGAACAAATCTTATGCAATTTCTAAGAATAAGGAGACAAAGGGGAAGAACAGAAACATACAGTCTAATACTTCTACACACACATGTATGCTATTATTCTATTACTGAAAGGCATATTTTATTACAGCTAAATATGCCAGCATTTAAGTTATTTTCTATAAGTACATACTGAGGTATAATGAATGAACTGCAATAGGATGAAATGTCTAGGAACCAACAATTGAATTTAGGTCTTATATTTGGTGAATTTCTATAGTCTGTTCTTTTTGCCAATCGACATCTATGCAAACCAATTCAGCTTTTTGTTTCAAGAACAATGGCACCTAAAAATAAACTAACCTGCCAATTCCTAAAGCAACACAGAGACCGAGTTCCATCCCACTCACCTTCATTCACCTTATCTGTGGGTCTTAAGCTATTTCCCTGGGACCTATGGGTCCTAAGCTGATTTCTAAGTTGCTATCTTTCATAAAGTACTAGGGATTGGAACTTAGATATGTCCAATCAGGAAGAAAGTTGTGGCTGAGTACAGCAGGTTAATAATATCGGCACTCGATTACCTGGAAATCTCTTTTAAGCAAGAGGATGCTTTCTCAAGACAACTTCAAACTCATATTACTTCCCCAATACAATGACCTAGTTATATGAGAGATCCTTAGGGGCAATAGGAGTAGTGTGGTATGAACCTGCCCTGTGACTGGGTTGGCACAGAGAGAGAACCAAGCCTGTTTACCTGGCTGAAGTCTCTAGGGAATGTATGTCCTATATTGTTAATTAGCTGATGGCACTGAGCTGTCCAGAGATGACAATACTCGGGGAAAATGAATATCAAGGAGAATGTCAGAGAATATCTAATCTGTCTCTTTTATGATTTTATATATTGACAGAAGACAGTTAATTTCTTAGACTTTCCCAGTGACCTTAGCTCTCATCTTTGAACAACTTAGATATTTTACAAAACAACAGAGATTTTTTTATCACAATTGCAAAAAAAAATTTATATGTAAATATATATTTTAAAATGGGAATTCCTTGTTACCTAATTTTAAATGTAAATATGCATACATTTTTATTTAATTTCATTCATAACCAACTTATAAGGAATCACAGAATAATATTTAGGCACATTGTAGTCTTTAAGATGAATGTTATGGATGGCAACCACCACATTTATTGCTAATCTTCTAATGTGGCTAAGAAAAATAAAAAACATAAATCCTCTATAATATTGTTCAGGTTATATCCAAAGGTTTTAATAATTTACTCAAACAATAAATAGTAAAAATATTGCATTTTTAGCAAAACATATGATTTTTTTGAATTGAACTTGTATTTGATTTTAAGTGCCAAATGATTTCAGTTCATCAGGATAGTTATAAGTAACCAACCCACCCCCCCACCAAAAAGGAAGAAATTTGATGGGTGTTCTGTCTGCTAAA